ACACTGGAAGACCAGCTGAGTGAGATTAAGACCAAGGAAGAAGAGCATCAGCGCATGATCAATGACCTCAATGCTCAAAGAGCTCGTCTGCAGACAGAAGCAGGTGAGACTCATATCTACATGTGCAGATCAGTAATGTCTCAGAGTTATTTCAAAAATTGCTCTCCTTGGCGTACGGTCTGTCCAACACACTTTGTGTCACATCTACTGTGAAATGCTTGAAATGGGATCATAAGTTTCAGCATAGACTACAAACTCTCTGTTTTTATATCAACAAATGTTAGCAGTTTCACAATCAATGGGATTAAATCTGTTGTGTATCTGCAATTTTCTCAGGTGAATATTCACGCCAGGTGGAAGAGAAGGATGCTTTGGTTTCTCAGCTGTCAAGAGGCAAACAGGCTTTCACTCAACAGATTGAGGAACTGAAGAGGCATCTGGAAGAAGAGATAAAGGTGACTCCTCCTCTCAGAGGTTCTCCAGATACTATGATGAGACAGGAAAAAATCTCATGTAATTTGGTGCAAGTCATCTCATGCTATCTTTTACCTAGAGGTTATCCACTATTCCTTTTTTTCTGTCCAAGCTTCTTTCCTCATTGTGTGCATGGTAGTGTATTTGCATAGAAGCATAATGCAGTGTCCAATTTATTATTCAGTCTGATTTCCTGGGATATTTCTGTTCCATGACCCAATACCTTTGTTGCTGCAGGCAAAAAGTGCCCTGGCCCACGCCCTGCAGTCTGCTCGCCACGACTGTGACTTGCTCCGGGAACAATATGAGGAGGAGCAGGAGGCCAAGGCAGAGCTGCAGCGAGCCATGTCCAAGGCCAACAGTGAAGTGGCCCAGTGGAGAACCAAATACGAGACAGACGCGATTCAGCGCACGGAGGAGCTCGAGGAGGCCAAGTACGTGGGGAAAGTGAGGAAGGCTAGCAGAGATTAAGACCAGAAATTCTTGGAGACCACTGTGACATTGCTGGGGAGAAGTCAGTGTTCTGCTTGGGGTTAGGATGAAAGGAGGATAGTAAATAAATTCTGAAATGCATGTGGTGAGGGAGAAAAAATCACAGGCAAACATGTAGAAGACAGGGACTGGCAGAGAGACACAACATACTATGGGGAAAAATGGAAGAGCAATGTGGACCACGGGCTGTGAAATGGCTAACCATGCTCTTGAGAAAAGCATGGCAGAATTGAATTGCTTGATGACTCTGAGCTGCACTTACCAATGAACTTGTAAAATATCCTGTTGCGAAAGGCCCATCAACCAGATGACACAACTTCCCTATTTCTTTTAAACCATGCTATATTTTAACACAGGAAGAAGCTGGCCCAACGTCTGCAGGATGCAGAGGAACATGTTGAGGCTGTCAATGCCAAATGTGCCTCCCTGGAAAAGACAAAGCAGAGGCTGCAGAATGAAGTGGAGGACCTGATGATTGATGTGGAGAGATCCAATGCTGCCTGTGCTGCTCTGGATAAGAAGCAGAGGAACTTTGACAAGGTCATTTGGCCTCCAGCACCAGCACTCGTGGCCAGAGCATGCCCCTGTGATGGCCTCAGCCCTACTCACAGCCCGTTTCTCTGCAGATCCTGGCAGAATGGAAGCAGAAGTATGAGGAAACGCAGGCTGAGCTGGAGGCCTCCCAGAAGGAGTCGCGCTCTCTCAGCACGGAGCTGTTCAAGATGAAGAATGCCTATGAGGAGTCCTTGGACCACCTGGAGACAATGAAGCGGGAGAACAAGAACTTGCAGCGTAAGTCCCTGCGCCTCTGCTCCTCGCTGCCCTTCCTCACAGGCTTGTCTGTCTGCCACACTTAACGGCCCTGGGCCCGCAGGGATAAGAACATGCCTGGCCCCCTGATGCACCAGAGCCTTTCTCCATTCAGCTCTGTGCCTGACCATGCTGCTTTTCACCCTTCTTTGCAGAGGAGATTTCTGACCTCACAGAGCAGATTGCTGAGCAAGGAAAGGCGATTCATGAGCTGGAGAAAGTCAAGAAGCAGGTTGAGCAGGAGAAATCTGAACTGCAAGCCTCCCTGGAGGAAGCTGAGGTAAAGCCTTCTGTTGTTAATTAACACAGTTTGGCAGCTTCAGATAACATTTATGTGATTCTATGTATTGACAATTCAGTGGAGGCATGGGAAGCAGGGTTTCTTCACACCACTAAAATCTTTGAATCCACTAGTATGCTTTTTCCTTTCTTTCAATCTCAGGCTTCTGGTTATACATTATTCTTTAAGATAACGATTCATATAAAGTTGTTGACAATGTTTTTTTTTTTATAATTGACTGGATTTTATACTTTTTTCAGGCCTCCCTGGAACATGAAGAGGGGAAGATCCTGCGCCTGCAGCTTGAGCTCAACCAAGTGAAGTCTGAGATTGACAGGAAGATAGCAGAGAAGGATGAGGAGATTGACCAGATGAAGAGAAACCACCTCAGAATTGTGGATTCCATGCAGAGCACTCTGGATGCTGAGATCAGGAGCAGGAATGAAGCCCTGAGGCTGAAGAAGAAGATGGAGGGAGACCTGAATGAAATGGAGATCCAGCTGAGCCATGCCAACCGCATGGCTGCAGAAGCACAGAAGAACCTGAGAAACACCCAGGCCGTGCTCAAGGTAGGGCATTACAGACCAGGTGCTCCCTGGTTCCTTACACAGCTACAAATATTTCTCTTCTAGCGTTCTTTTCTATATTAATATGAAAATGGAAAATAAGTGAAGGGGAAGAATATGCCTCCCAATCTGTAGCATCTCTTTTTCCAGGACACCCAGATCCATCTGGACGATGCTCTCAGGACACAGGATGACCTGAAGGAGCAGGTGGCCATGGTGGAGCGCAGAGCAAACCTGCTGCAGGCTGAAGTTGAGGAGCTCCGGGCAGCCCTGGAGCAGACAGAGAGGTCAAGGAAACTGGCTGAGCAGGAGCTTCTGGATGCAAGTGAGAGAGTTCAGCTTCTCCACACTCAGGTAGGTTCTAGAACTGAAGACATATAACACCTACAGTACTTAGGGAATTGAAATTACCAATAAGGCTGTTTTCCTTTTTAAATTCTAATATAACAATTAATCTTCAACAGTCTACCTCTGCTATTTGTCAGTTATTTGTATTCGTCATATAAAACTGACACAAAACATAAATAAAAAGAGGTAATTTGATTTTTCTAAAAATGGTGTGAAGCAACTGGAGGAAAAATTTTGCTTTTTTCCTTCAAAAGAACACCAGCCTGATCAACACCAAGAAGAAGCTGGAAACAGACATTGCCCAGATCCAGGGTGAAATGGAGGATACCATCCAGGAAGCCCGCAATGCTGAGGAGAAGGCCAAGAAGGCCATCACAGATGTGAGTTGGGTGCTCCTGGCATTGCTGATGGTCAATGTACTCTGCCCAAAATATCTCCAGCCCTAAATTGGCTTTGACCCTTTGCTCTGATCAGGCGGCCATGATGGCAGAAGAGCTGAAGAAGGAGCAGGACACCAGTGCCCACCTGGAGAGGATGAAGAAGAACCTGGACCAGACAGTGAAGGACCTGCAGCACCGCCTGGAAGAGGCCGAGCAGCTGGCACTGAAGGGAGGGAAGAAGCAGATCCAGAAGCTGGAGGCCAGGGTGTGTAGGGCTGGGTGTGTGTGTGAGTGAGCGTGTCCTTGGAGAGACATTGCCAGGGAAGCTGCAGGGATGGGCTTGTCCTTGCAGGTGCGGGAGCTGGAAGGGGAGGTTGATGCTGAGCAGAAGCGCAGCGCTGAAGCCGTGAAGGGCGTGCGCAAGTACGAGCGCAGAGTGAAGGAACTGACCTACCAGGTAAGGCAGGAGGGCTCCTGCTCTGACAGGGCTTGCTCACAGTCAGTCACATTTTACACCATCTCCAAGGGAATTTTTAACCTCTCTATTGTCTTTCTATCCTGTTTGCCAACCTCTCTAGTCTGAGGAAGACAGGAAGAATATTCTCAGGCTGCAGGATCTGGTGGACAAGCTGCAAATGAAAGTGAAATCCTACAAGAGACAATCTGAGGAGGCTGTGAGTATTTCTTGGGAAAGTAAAAAGCATTGCTTCCTATGGGTATCACGCAGTTGTCCAGGAGAGGAATAGAAAAAATTTTTTAAATGTCAAAAATCATCAGTTGACGAGGGGGACTTTGTCATCCAGATATACCCCCTAACACATCAGCACCAAACAAGTGGGAGAATAAGTACAGAAATGACAAATCCAAAGGGCAAAATTCCTCTTCACATGTGATGCCCTCCTGGTGATACTTGTCCCAGTAGTGTCCTGAAAAGGGGAGGATGAGGAGTTCTGTGTGAGGCTGATGTTTGAGCAGTGGTGGGAGGGGGATGGAGATGTGCAGCCCCATTGGGTTGACTTGCAGCAGAAGTGAAACCCCTGTCCTGTGCTCCTGACCCCTGACTCCCTTTCCCCACACAGGAGGAGCTGTCCAATGTCAACCTGTCCAAGTTCCGCAAGATCCAGCACGAGCTGGAGGAAGCCGAGGAGCGGGCTGACATTGCAGAGTCACAGGTCAACAAGCTCCGAGCCAAGAGCAGGGAGTTTCACAGCAAGAAAATAGGAGAGGAAGAGTGAGAATGTTGTGAGGCAGCAAAGTGACCTGAGGGCTGCACAAAATGTGACCCCTCTGTCACTTCCTTCTGCAACAAGGCTTTATAAATTTGTCAATGTCTAAAGACCATAGATTCTTTTGCATAAAAAGCAGTAGTTACATTTTAGTTCTGGAATTATTTAAGTATTGATTGTGTTCGAACAATTAATATTCAGGAGTAAATTCCTGAATTTTCTGGAGTAAGATTCAGAAGCTCCAGTTCTCCAACTACAGTAAGAGTAATAGGCATGAGAGCAAACAAAAAATTTTACACTGTACTAGAGTGTTTCCCAGCAATGGTATTGTGATTTAAAGTTAGAATAAATAAATATTAAATAAATAATGTTCTTTAGCAAGAGAAATTGTAAACCTATGTTTTACAAGTTTACATGTGAAAAGGAATTGTTTTTATTTTTCTAACACCTGAATTGAGAGCAACCCTGTTGACATAACACCATAAAGAAATCTCCAAGTCTGACACCCTGAGAATTTAGAGAAGCACTAAAAATGGTGTTTCCTCACAGCCAAACAGTGCTTCCAGTCTTCCTTTTGCAGCAATGCATGAGGGTTTTTTATAAGGGAACTGAAAACTGGATGGAAAAAAGTTACTGATAAACCCTGGCTTTTTTTTTTTTTCATCCCACATGGGGTAACGCTGAAGAATATAATGCATGATCAGGACAAAAATTAGGAAAAGCTGACTATGAGGAAGAGAAGGCAGCAAGGATGTTTCCCACCTCCAGCCATTCTTGTCAGTGCCCAGGTGGGGGCAAGTGAGCCTGGAGCAAGTGGTGAGCCTGGAGAACACAGCTACCATCACCCTGAAGCAAAGAGATTGTGCCCATTAGGACATCACAATGACACTCACATTGGAGTTTCCTTTCTCTGGAATAGGTGTTTAGAGGCAACCGGCACAGCAAGCAGCAGTGCAGCTTAACATACCATTCACTAGACCCTGGCACATCAGGTAGCTGCCGAGGGAAGATTCCACAAGCAGATGTGGGGAATGGTAAATGAGACTTGGCTTTCACTACAGGGACACTTACAGATCCCTCAGGGTTCTTGGCTATCTCTACACCTCTACGTTTACAAGGAGTACTTCAAAGAGCTGTGAAAGAGCTGGGGAAGGGAGCTGCAGATACTGCACAGCCCTTTGCACTGACCACAGCTGTCAGTGTATTTGCAGCAACAGTGTTCAGGACTGGGAGGTCCTTCTCCCAAATACACTGAGGTTTACACCCATAGAATTCTTCCATGTTACAACTAAATATGGAAGTAGTTCTCTAGTAGCTAAATATATTTAATGAAAAGATGACACCCTGTATTGACTTTTGTGTCACTGTAAGTGATGCTCTTCAGAGACATCATCTCTATGTGTGAAGCTGTGAAAACTTCATCAGTGCCAGTGATATCTGGGCAACAAGGAAAAGAAACCTTGGGTATCTTTTTAAACCTGCTGACAGACTAGAAAATGCCACAGCAACTTTGAGGACCATATTTCAATGTCAAAACTCCCTGCTCCCTTTGCACAGTATTACAATCACCCTCCAAAATAAACAAGCTGCCCTGTCTGTGGAAGAATCAGGATGCACTTGAAGCACCTGAAACTGTTGGGGCTTCTCTCTCACCTGTAAGAAATAATGGCCTGAGGATTTCTTACTAAATGCTCAACTGATGAAAGGTAACATTGCAGGCTCCTTAAGAGACAACACCTTGGGCCAGAATTCCAACTGCACAGGTGGGAGAGGGAGAGAAATCACACACACTGCACTGTGCTGTCCTGGCCTTGCCACTGGCCATCCTGGAAAGCATGGCTGGAGACTTTTTGGAATCAGAGTGGAATATCAAAGGGATGAGTAAAGAAAACCGATTTCTCCTCACTTTTGATTTGCTGCTTTGGCTGGAGGACAGGAGTCTTTTGCATCAATGCACTATTTCTGGTGTCAGGCTGCTTGTGATGTGAAATGTGCTGATGCACAGGTAACTGATCTTGGGAAGAACATGGGCCCATAAGTGGCCTAAAGGAACATCTCAAAGAGAAGGTTTAAAATAGATGCAGCTGATGAGCTCCACTAGAGCTGCTGCCCCATGTGGACTGTGGAGTTCTCTGACCTTCAAGAGCTTGGGCATGGATGACTGAGTCTCCTGGGCACAAAAGCATCAGCACTTTAAGAGGCACTAAGACATGAACAAAGTATTTCTGACCTGAAGAAACAGGTTCCCCACAGAGGTCTCTTGCCAACAATTCAGCTTTCCAGTTCTCCAAGTACTCATTGCCTATGCCCTCAGCCCACAGTAACATTGCCTTGACCAGAAAGGGCTTTCTTCCCCAACAGCAGAAAATCAGGGGGCCAGGAGGTGAAGGGCAGAAAGGAAGAGAGAAGCGTAGGAGGGAGAGGTGGATGGAGCAGGAGAAGGAGAGGAGAGGGAGACCAGAGAACAAGTGGGTTGGGTAGATATTGTGAGAAAGAAATGGAGGAAGAGAGTGAAACACGGAAAATGACGGAGAAAAGAGAGGAATGGAGGAAGATACTGAGAAAGGTGTGAAAGAAAGGAAGTTTGAAAAATAAAATATTGAGATGGGGAGCAAGAAAATTCCTGAAGAGTAGGGGAGAAAGAGACAGAAAGTAGAGGTGGGAGGAAGGAAGAAAAAGAGAAAGGAAGAGAGCAAATAATTGAGCATCATTTGGGTGTTGGTACCTGACAACCTGACACTGGACTTAACTCTGCTGCTTTTGATCACTGCTCTTGTGAACCCCCTGCCCACTGACCCATATCACACCCAATACCCTACAATGGGTGCCTTGTTAAGAAGAGTAAGAGTGTCTTGAGAAACAAATGTGTTCTCTGAATCTCTGCTCTCCTGGCACTGCAGGAGGGGCAGGCAGGTTGTGTCTGGTGCCTCCTCACATCCAAAGACCTCGGGAGCAGTGATGTTAAAAAAAGGCTGAAAACACTCAAGTGGGGCAGCGTGGGAAAACAGAAATGCTTGTGGGGACTGGGAAGGATGAGGAGAATGTGGGACACTCATTGGAGAGAGGAGAGAATGGGTTCACACTGCAGGCTTTGCACGACATCTGACTACTTTGCATGCTGCTAATGCTTCTAGACACAGTCTCAATGTGATGGCAGACACACAAGTGAATGCACAGAGCATTAGAATTTAAGCTAGGCAGGAAGTTTTCCCATCCCTAAATGCTCTTGGGAATGTTCCTAATTTCCTCCTCATTTTGTATTCCAAAAGACGTTTTAATATATGTTCCATCCTGAAAGATACCTGCCTCGGTTAGCCAAAAATCTGGCCTTAATGAAGAATAGACTATGTCCATGCCTCCACATTGCAGTGCAGAACTATTGACATCAAACAAGGAGATGCTTAGAATTAACACAGAGAAAAATTAGTTTTTCCTGGTAGTGATTTGAGAATGTGAATGAGACCTTGCGGAAGTGAGGGGAAAACAGGAAACATGAAAAACATAACACAACAAAACCCACAGTAGTTCTATGTGTAACTGCCTGAACCTTACTGTCTTGCAGGAGGTGTTAAAACTGATTTTTAGGTCATAAGTGACTATATGTGACAATTCTTAAGAAGAATACAGCTACATCTCAGACGAGGATAATATGCATGTTTCTTCAAATTATGGAATTCAAATGCAAGGTTATCAAAACCAGATACTTTTGTGGCACCTGTTATCTGTCAGTGATTTCAACTGCTCAACAAGTTCTCCAATGTTTTCTGGGAGGAGCAGTCACTTTTTCAAAATTGCACTATTTTAGTAACCCTGATTTCCTTTTGATCCAGATCCTTCTCCACCTTCAACTTCTTTTACCACCTGTTGTTCTTCTAGACTGTTCCACCCAGACACCACCCAGCCTGCTCACCCCACACACCTGTTCTGTAACAGGAGCTCCTCAGCTGCTTTGGTGAGTGATGGAAAGGGCATCCTGAAGGTCATGTCCTCACCCAGGATCTCTCCAGATCTCTTCCATGGATGCTTCCTGGGAAGACAGGAGGAGCCTAAGTAACTGTGTAACTTTGATACTCACTCAGCACCTGCCCAGGTGTTATATTTTTACCTTCTTCTCCACTTCAGAGTTAAGTGATGCTGCGATGTCTTTGGAGTTGCAGTTTCTCTCTTCCATCTCTCTCTTCTGAAATACAGAAGTGTGGAACATTGTACATGCTTGTGTGGCATATTATGCTATACCATTAAGCTATACCATAAATGCATTGAAAAAATTAACCTGGAATCAGTCTCAAGAGAGTACAATTAGGAGACAGAAGGATCTTCAAAGTCCTTCCCTGCTTTGGTGCATGGGACAAGGCAGTCTTCTCAAGTAAGTTATAGCCCCAAAAATACTAGATTACCTTTGCCATGGCTAAAATTTCCCTGTACCTATTCTGTATCTTTTCCCTTGAATATTTTTAAGATTCTGGGGTTCTGTTCATCAACCTGTTTTACTGAAAAATCAACTAACCCTTCCAGTCTTACCTCATATGGAATTCTTGAGCTACATAGCACTGCAACACCACTTTGGACTAGACACTTCCTGCAGGGAAGCATGCATTTCACCAAATCCATGCACTTACAGGAGGAAGGGAAGTTAGGTTAAGGAAAGTGTGTCCTACCATCTCCAGAGTCCAGTGCCCAGCTGCATCTTAATACTGGGAAGTGTTGGGATGAGAAGCCTTGCTCTGAATGATCAGTGTTTGAGCAATTCTGTTTCTTTGGCGCTAACATTCCTGGCAGCTCTCGTTTTTCACAGAGGGCAGCAGAAATGCTGCTGCAGCAGGAGCTGAGCATTCTCTGTCATAGGGCTCATCAGGGGTCCACAGAGCACACTGATGCCTCCAGCATGCCCTGTCATACTGAGAGTATGGCTGACAACAGCACAGGCAAGCTGAAAATCCTATGGGGAATGTTTTTCAAATAGTGTTGCACTGAATAATCCACAGATTTATAAGATCTGTCCACTTTTTTTTTTTTTTTTTTTAATTCTGTTTCTGTAGATCTTGATGGTTTTCATTATTTGTGAATTGTAGTTTAGTTTTTTTTCTGATAAGATTCACATCTGGCACAGCTGAGTATAAAGAAGAAAAAATACTGTTCATAGCAGGGGAATAAAATTGCTTCCATGATAAGATTAGCAGTGGCAGTCTGAAGGCATAATTGTTCTACTATTGACCATTCAGAGACATGCTGTAATAGCAACAGTGCTGCACCAAGATTAATTTTTATCAATGTGATAAAGAGAAAAA